GGTCCGAGCCGGCCCCTGAGCTCCCTGCTCCCCGCTCTGGGGACTTGCTGGCAGGGTTGGGAGAGGGCTCTGCAGAAGGGATTGAGAGCAGAGAAAAGGGCTAGGTGCTTCCTCAATGTGAGCCGGGAGGCTGGTGGCGGGAAGCAGAAGGCTCCCCTCTTTGGGCCCCAGTTCCTCCGTCCGATCTCCATGGTGATGATAATTCCCCGTTCACGGTGTTTAAGTGAACCAATGGCAAAAAAGCGCTCAAAGTTACCCCGACAGAGCTCCCGGGATCCCCGCGCCACGCTGGGAGCAGAAAGAGGCCACACCGGCGCGCGCCTTTAAAACTGAACCCTTCCCTCCTCCGCTAGGCCGCAGAAAACGTTTTACTTTAATCAACTGCTACTTCTTCCAGGGTGAGTATCTCATCTCCACCCATGTGTGGGAATGACCTCAATTTTCCCCCGGCAGCTTGTCTTTTTAAAACATCCAAGTTTCACCCTGAAAACTATTTTAAAAACAAAGAAACCGATCACTTGTCTGCGATGCGCCCCACGCCAACCTCTCGACTCCCTGGAAGAGGGAGGACCGGTTGGGGATCCCCACTTAACAGATGGGGAAACTGAGGCCTAAGAAGGGCAGAGGATGCATCAAGGCTGCTGGGCCGGTAACGCGCTAGCTCCAATCGGATCCCTCACTCCGTGGTGCTGCTGCAATCGCAGGCAGTGCTGTGTGACACGGGATCCCCTTTGTGACAGGATATTGCTCTGATGCTCTCTGAGGCCATACAGCCACTGACCTTGACTGACTGTCCCAGAGTAACCCAAACAGTCACTGTGTTGCCACTATACCAAAATTCTTGGATCTGAGTTGCGAGTATTGGGGCCTGGAGTTTCCATCATCACTCAGTAAGGACAGTGACACAGGCCAGGCCATTAAAGCTACTAACTAGGCTCTGAGAACTCAGGAAAAGAGGAGAGGCGGCCAGAGCCAGGAGTTAAGGAGCCCCAAGACCTGAATTTCCCTTTCTGCGCAGAACCTCCTCTGCAAGCCTTTAAGCCAGTTCCTTGGCAGTCTGGGCCTAGTTTCCTTCCAGCTCTAATTTCCAAGGTTTCCTTAAGGAGAAGAGCTAGCTAGCTGGTTACCTCTGCATCTGCACGAAGGGGCATCTGGGTCAAAGGATAGCGAGGAATTTTCCGTGACTCCTTGGATCACCTCCTTTATATTTACAAACTCTCCCAAGGCACTTCAGATTTCAGGAAAGAAGTTAATAGGGGAAAAGTGGCCCGTCATCTACAGATCACCAGCACTCCTCTCCTTCCTCCCCCAAACGCACATAAAATAGCCTGCGTGGGGGCAGCTTTTCCCAAAGAGTGCTGGGGATACACACTCAGGGCTGAAGGCAGTCAAAACACAGATGGAAGTCACCCAGCACCCACCCACATTAATGCTAACCCACCCCTGCTGGACTAGGAGAATGATTTCCAAGGGGCTGGAACCCACTAGGTAGCTTTCAAATGGTTTTCAATTGCGTCTGTTACCCCTACAAACGTTAAGAAGCAAGGCGCCAGAGAACTCGGGAAGACTCGACCAGAGAAAAGCAAAATGCCTAGGCACCAAAGAGTTCTTTATGTATAGTTTTGATCAAACCGGGTGAAATGTCCCAGTTCACTCACTAAATCCTTTCATTCAAATTTTGCATCGTGGATTCATAGAATCTTCAAAGTACAGAATTTTGAAATGTATAATTAGGATAAAACACTTATACGCTAGAATCTTTAGGATCCTTTTTTCACAAAAATCTTAGAACCTTAGGAATTCTAATCTCAGGATATTATCTCTTGGTCTGGTGCCCAGCTGCTCCCTAGCAGCAAAGACTGAGGAAGAGGAACCAGAATTCCCAAAGAATGGGTTCACAGAAAAGAAACATTGAGGATTCAGAAATGCTGAGGCATGGAGGTTTCTAACCATAGTCGCCGGAGTTTTAAATGTAGAGAAAAATAAAGTCATGGAACTGAATCAAATACATGACCAATCAAAGTCACAGGTCATGAATTTTATAAGAATTGTTAGAATTAGACTGAGTTATAGAAACAGTGGATCCAGTACTAAGATTTGGGGATTAAGGAAGAAGAGAGTTGTGGATTTATAGGACCCAAATATTCCAATCAGACATTCTAGACAGAAATTCAAATTAATATACTGGGGGTGCCAAAAATACACATGACTTGTATTCATCTTTTGTTATCGATATATATTGAGTATTACAATTTTAATACATTTTTTCCTTTCTTAAAATTTGTATACATTTTTTTTGCATCCTCTATATCTTAGAACTGCAAAAATAGCTAAAAACTTGAGAAGCTGCAGCTCCCAGTAGTGGTATCATATTTTTAGGTGCAAAACCTTAGTCCCAGCATCTTAAAAAATGAGGAATACGCTTTGATACTTTGACCAGAACCTTAAAGTAACAGGAATATAGTCATAGTCAAAGAATTTATACTTCTGGTCATGGAATCCTAGAATTACAGGATCACGTTCTTTGATTTGTGGAATCATGTTAGGATAAGTGGTCCAAAATTTAAAATTTGTAAATCTTAACTTAGTATCTTGGAAATACAGAGAACCACAAAATCAAATATTAAAAGATTGCTATTATGTAACCTGGTTAAAACAAAAAACAATTTTTAACTTGTTTTTTCCCCAGATGTAACCTGGATTTTTCGCATCTTCGTTACTTTGAAAGGACACTGGATGGTTTGTTGAGTGAAAAGCCCTTCTCCATTCGTTCTAGCACGCATCCGCTGAGCAAGGTCTTCAGGCAAACCGTTCAATCGCTTCCACACTCGGGTCGGCGGATCGAGGATCTGGGCTTTTTGCCTCTTTCTTCCGAAGGCAATTGCCCGATGCTTGGCGGAGCTGAGCCTGCCCCCAGCTCACCGCCACGAAGGACGCAACTAAAATCCCCCAAGGCTGCGCGGCCCCTGTTCCCCCGACTATTTCCGCTCCGTTCCGCCCTGCACCCGCAGCCCCGCGGAAAGCTATGTGCCGGCTGGAGCGTCTACAAGCAGTCGGCACCAAGGCCTGGAATCCTAAAGGTAGAAGTGGCCTCCAAGATCCGGACATGCCCTCCTGCCCTCAATTCATACAGCAGAAAACTGAGGTCCTGCGACGCGGAAGGTCTCCCCGTGAAAGGCCACAAAACGAACCCAGGCCGGCGGGGCTGTCGCCGCAGGCAGTCTCGGTGAGGCTTGAGTCCCGCCTTCAGGCCCTGGTAGGAAACAAACTCAGAAACCGGACACCCGCGAAGCAAACGGGTCCCGTCTGCCCGCCCCTTCTCCCGGAGACGCGCCCACCCGAAGCACCCCACCCTCCGTCCTGCCATCATCTCTCGCAGCCCTCACTCCCTGCTAAGGGAAGAGGCGGCTCGGCTGTCCCCCGGATCTTGGGAGCCACTCAGGAGGAGGAGGTGACCGCGAGAGGGCCGAAGCCTAGCCTTCATCCTAGCCTTCATCCTCGTTAAGCTGTGCGCGCCTCTCCATCATACAAACAGAGAGGGAGGGGTCCCGAGTCATCCAAAGACCGATGATTGCAGTCGGAGGCGGCCTTTCCTTACATACCGTCAACGGAAGGACTCCAGAGATGCAAACCCTCCGTACAGTCGAGGAACCGGACCCAAAGAGGGAAAGTGGCTGCCTCCAGCACAAAGCCGGGAAGCGCAGTCTAAACAGACTCAGGTGTGAGGCTCCGCTACGCGGCGAAGTCTCTGTGTGACTATGGCAAGTCACCTCCCCTATCGGACCTAGGTATCCTCATGAAAGATGAGGGACTGGATGGGGAATGGGCAGGCCAGCCTTGACTGGGGTTTGGAAATCATCCTTGAAAGACCTTTGGAACCAGTCACCTGGCAAGTCTTTTTTCCCTTCCACGTCCCCCACCCCACAAGCACCAAGTGTTCCCTCTACCAGTTCTCACCTCCGGACAAAAAGTGAAGCAAGCCCTTCCTTTCCCCTGCGGGGCCCAGCCCTCCACAGAGGCTGGAAAAGACCGGAAGCGCTGAGTTCGGGCGCAAAAGTCTCCGGAGACAGTCCCTGGCCTCTCCCGGCCTCAGTCTCCCCGTGGGCGCGCAGAGGAGGCCGGCCCGGGGGATCTCCAAGCGCCCTCCCCGTTCTGACGTTGTGGGACTCCCGCCCGCCGCCACAGCTGCTCCTACCTGGGGAGGTGCGTCGGGGCTCAGGGGGCGGGCAGTCGGGGGGCGGGCGGGGAACCGGCGCCGCCCCAAGCTTGCTGGCGCCTTTAAGGAGGAGAAGCGGGCGGAGGGAGGAGCTGGCCTGGGTTATGTGCAGGGGAGCGCCTCGCCAGTGGTCTCGGTGGTGGAGGCCAACGCTGCAAAGAGGGAGTCGCCGGCCGCCCCGCCTGGCCCGCGCCGCGACCTAGCGGCCGGCGTCTCGCCTGCTTGCCCTCCGCAGCCTGGGCGGCAGGAGCGCAACTTAGGCGGCCCTCACCAGAGTGCCCACGCCGTCAATAACTGCTCTCTCTTCTGGCCTTCGGACCCGCCACCTCCTCTGCGCGCACGACTTCGACGGTTATACTCAGATCAGCGGAAAGCCCAGACCAGCTGCAGGTGCCTCAGCCCCAGGACCTCTTCCAGACCCATTCACCGCCTGGCACCAGGGCGCAGAGGACCCTTCAGCACACGACGGGGACCCAGTCCCGGTCCCAACGCCACTACCGGCGCCTGGCCTCGAGCTCCAGAACACGAGCAGAGCCGTCGGTGGGCGGGACACTCCTAAGCCTCCATCCGCAGTGAGCCAGCCCGGAAATCACGGGCGCCAAGTCTCCAGCGCGCTCCCGCCGGGGAAGCTGTGCTCCTGGTGCCAGCCCGCGAGGACCCCCTGAGCTCTCCGCAGAGGGGCCCAGCGTCCATTCCCGTGACCCTGTGTGCCAGGCCCCGTAGCTCTCAGACTCGCCCCCATCCTCGACAGCAGCGGGCGGCGGGGACGCGGGACGGCTGCACCATGACGGCCGAGAGCGGGCCGCCTCCGCCACCGCAGCCAGAGGCACTGGCGGCGGTGAAGGAGGAGCGAGGTGAGGCAGGGGCCGGGGTCCCCGCAGAGGCGGCGGGCCGCGGGGCAGGCGGGCGGCGGAGGAAGCGCCCCCTGCAGCGCGGGAAGCCGCCCTACAGCTACATTGCGCTCATCGCCATGGCCATCGCGCACGCGCCAGAGCGCCGCCTCACGCTGGGCGGCATCTACAAGTTCATCACTGAGCGTTTCCCCTTCTACCGCGACAACCCCAAAAAGTGGCAGAACAGCATCCGCCACAACCTCACGCTCAACGACTGCTTCCTCAAGATCCCGCGGGAGGCTGGCCGCCCGGGCAAGGGCAACTACTGGGCGCTCGACCCTAATGCCGAGGACATGTTCGAGAGCGGAAGCTTCCTGCGCCGCCGCAAGCGCTTCAAGCGCTCGGACCTTTCCACTTACCCGGCCTACATGCACGACGCCGCCGCCGCCGCCGCCGCTGCCGCCGCCGCCGCTGCCGCCATCTTCCCGGGCGCGGTGCCCGCTGCGCGCCCGCCTTACCCGGGCGCCGTCTATGCAGGTTATGCTCCGCCATCGCTCGCCGCGCCGCCCCCGGTCTACTACCCCGCTGCGTCGCCAGGCCCGTGTCGCGTCTTTGGCCTGCTGCCTGAGCGACCGCTTACCCCGGAACTGGGGCCCGCGCCGTCGGGGCCCGCGGGTTCCTGCGCATTTGCTTCGGCTGGTGCTTCTGCCACTACCACCGGCTACCAGCCCGCCGGATGTGCCGGGGCCCGACCTGCCAACCCTTCGGTCTATGCGGCCGCCTACGCAGGCCCCGACGGCGCTTACCCTCAAGGGGCCGGCAGCGCCCTCTTCGCGGCGGCGGGCCGCTTGGCTGGGCCTGCCTCGCCCCCCGCCGGTGGCAGCAGTGGCGGCGTCGAGACGGCAGTGGACTTCTATGGGCGCACATCGCCAGGCCAGTTCGGAGCGCTGGGGCCTTGCTACAATCCTGGTGGGCAGCTCGGAGGGGGCACTACAGGCGCCTACCATGCTCGCCATGCGGCCGCCTATCCCGGCGGGGTGGATCGTTTCGTGTCTGCCATGTGAGCCGGGCAGATGGTCGAAAATTCATAGATGCCTCGCCTGTTTACACGAACAAAGTATCCCTGAGACCTAGAGAGGACTGACTTGAAAGCCTCATGGAAGGGACCCAGCGGGCAGGAGACGCGCCGCGCGTCTCCTGTTTCACCGCGTACACACCTGGTTCGCTTTGTAAATGGGAGGAAGTGGGGAGAGGCTGCTGTGGCCCACGGATTAAGACAAAGGACCCTGAGAGGGGGAGCTCCAAAGAACATGCCTTTCTGACATTCTACCTGAGAGGGTCCTAGGCGATAAAGGGGGCGCAGCTCAGTGGCTACACCAGAGCCTAGGATCCGAATTGTGGGGAATTACATGACTTCACTGTACTGCATGAAACCGGGGCCTTACACAATTCAGCCTCTTGTGCCTTTGACTAAGTTACTACAATAAAAGGCTCCAATAGCGCCTTCTTTCTTAAGATGAGGAAGACAAGTTTGCAAAAGAAGTAGTTTCTTGTTGTTTTGTTTTTTAATTGGAGACATCGCTCTGCTTCTCTTGACGTGGAGCTGTTTTCCCTGCCTCTGAGACTGCAGACCCAGCTCTGAGTCTGGACTGTGAATCAGTTCCACGGGGTGACCCAGTACTATCACCCATAATCCTAGGTTCCCCATCTGTTATACAAGAGGGCTGCAGGATTAGACCCCCCCCCGCCCCCACATATGATCTTTAAGGGCCCTATCTTTGTGGATGCGGCCCTGCGTATTTGGCAGAATCTGTGGGCCACCCAAGGCCTAACCTTAGTATTCCAGGGAATAGGAACAGAGCTCATGGCAAAGCATCTAATCTGAAGTCTCGATTAGCTCCAGGCAGCGATTATATCACAATTTCGTGAATCTTTAGAGCATAATATGCTAATCATTTGGCAAGCTGTTTAATCTGGGTCCTAAATGTAGTTTTCTAATGAGGTAGGTAGAAATATATTTGTCCATTGTCCAGTCTTTCCATCAAGCAGCTCTGGACCCAGCGGGAGTTAAACTAAAAAGTTCAAAGAGATGACAGGACTCAGGGGAGCCCATTGGTGACAGCGTTCAGTTTATCAGGCTGGCTCTTCCATACCTCAGCAGCCTCCCCATGCAAACAGGAAAGTGAAAAATAAATTGGAGTGGCCGGTGAAGTAAGCTTTAGAAAGAAACTGGATTTTGAACTTGGTTTTGTATCCGTTTGTTTTAAGCAGCAAGCTGAGCAAAATCAAAGCAAATCCAACCACTTTCCCACCCTTCTCTTTAGAAATCTTGTAAGTTTTGATTCTGAAGTGAAAATTCCCAGCATTAAATATTTCAGAGGTTCAGTGTGCAGCTTTCAGATAAACTTGAGTGTTCAGGTGAACTGTTTTAATAAAAATCTTTGAGTGAGTGTGTTCTGGCAAGAGAAACCCAGCCTCTTTCTGCTTAGTTAACTTGCTAGGAAAGGGCTGGGTGTGTGAGAAGGAAGACTGAAAACCGCTGGTATTTTTTTTTTTTAATTTTGGGAATTGCGCTGTCTAGTTCACTGACATGTGAATGTGATTCAGTCCAGGCGGGTATTTGTCTAATAAATCAGCTGTCCAATAGAAATGTAATACAAGTTACATGTTATTTAAATTTTTCTAGTAACCACATTAATAAAATAAAAAGGAAAGAGATTAATAATATGTTGTATTTAACCTAATATATATCCAAACTATTGTTTCAGCATATAATCATTATAAAAACTGTTGAAATACTTGACTATTTTCATACTAAGTCTCCAAAATCTGAAGTGTATTTTACACTTACCGCACATCTAAATTTGGACTAGCTACATGCCAAGTGCTCCCCAACAGTGTGTGGCTTTATTGGACAGTACAGGTCTAGGTGCTGGTCCTTCCTGACTTTGGTGGTGGAAAATGAGTACCTGGAGGCAGAAGACAGCTGGAGCACTGACCCTGCTGCCAGTGGTTTCAGATTCAAGTCCCAGCCTTGTGACCTTGGAAAAGTCTAGGTGTTGGGCGTCATCTCCCAGTGGACCTGTGCGGATGAAATTCAAAGGTTCTCCATGCACAGCTAGACAATCTGGCTCTTCCAGGCAGAAGCCACAATCTCTTTAACTCATTTGCAGTAGCTGGAAATGGAAAGCCCTCCACCCACAGGTTTTGTCTTTGGCTGGCAAGAGCCCAGCTAGGGGATTGGGGCGGGAGAAGGATGGTCTATGCCCCTGTTTCCTACAGGAGTGTACACTTTCTCTGTTTTATTAATTACCAAGTTCAGTGTTTTAACAGCGCCATTAACCTGAAACCAGTCCGTTTTCCTTTAGTGTCCCTATTTGTGAATGGGAATGCGTGACCCCCTACCTCACAGAGACCTCCTGAAGTTAAACAAGACTAGAGGTGAAAAACCGCTTTGTAAACTGTAAAGCACTGGGCACAGGAAGGAGGAAAGGCTTTGAAAAACAAAAGCACCGCCTTATCCCCAAGTCTGAAGTATCTCCATAAAGCCCCAGGAACAAGAAAGATAGGGTGGGGAAATGCACGCGTCTTTGCCCCTCACACTCCTTATCCACGAGGATGACAGGCGAGATTATGCCAAAAGCGGAGGTCAGTGCCGGCAGAGAGGACATGGCAAGGAGGGAACTGGGTGTGTACAGGGGGAGCGGAGAGAGACGAGGAGACCCGCAAGGGTTGGGACCAAGGGGTTGCAGACAGGGCGTTAGCCCTTCTCGGCCTCCCACCGGCCGGCGACACCCAAAGCTCTCGCCGCCTAGGCCTGGCCAGAACGGACGTTGCGCAGGCGACCGAGCGCGGCTCCGGCTTCAACCAGGCCGGGGTCTGGGACAGACCCTCCAGTCCGCGCGTGACTAGGATCTTGAGAACATTCCAACTCCAAGAATCCCCAAACCGTGGAACAGGACCTCCCGGTTCCCCATCTGGGGGCTTAGAGACAGGAGGTGCGTTTCTCTATTTTTTTTCTTCCTATTATGAAACCGGGAAAATCATTTGCCCCACTCTGGGCCCTGCACCCCAGCATCGTGTGCAGGCGCCCCAGGGCCGTGGATAATTAGATGCGTTCTTCCCTAATTGCCCAAGGCTCGTTAGAATTCGCCCCAGAGCTGTAACATTTATTTTCGTTCAAATTAACTTTGCTTGCAATTAAGCTTAGGAAACCAGCAACAAAAGCACAATTGGCCCGAAGTCGTTTATTGGAAAACGGATTAGGGCACCTTCTTCCCCAATTTAAGGGGAAAGATTCCTGTCCAAACAGCAAAGGCAAAGGGGAGCAGGAAGTTGCTCAGGTGGTTGTTGGTCATGAAGGCGTTGATGCTCCTCCTCATCTCGGCATGTCTGTGCCCAGAAGAGTAAGGATAACCTTGTTGAAATAAATTCTGACGATTTGAACTGAACCCATGACATGAAGCTGCTGTCTGTAGTTAGTTTACACAGCACGTTCATAAACATAATCTCATTTACTAAGAACCTTGTGAGAATTTTCTTTTATTAAAATTAATTTTCTCCTTATCACAAAATAGGCACATGTTCATTATATGTGTGTGTGTGTGTATATATATATACACATATACATATACACATATATAAAAATACAAGTTAGAAAGAAAAAAAAATCAAAGGAACTCATAGTTCGCCCAGAGAAAGCACAAGCAACACCTCGGTGAGTATTTTTTCTAGTTTTTGTTTTTCCTATTTGGCCTGAGTCTGAACTTCGTCACTGAAATGCTGTGAGATCTTCCTGCACTGGGTAGGCCTGTTTCATCAGCTACAAAATGAGGGGGCAGGTCCCCTTTCACCTTCGCATTCTATAACTCCTCTTTTCTTGGTTATTTGAATCTGGGATGCACTTCTCCTAGGGCCAGGAGAGAGGCTTAGAGTCTTGTAGGCGCTCCCTCCCAGCTGTTTTACGCAAGAGACTGAAGCCCTGAGGCCTTAAACTCAGTGTGGGCCAGAGACCAGCTACATGGGCGTCCCTGGAAGCTGGCTAGGAATGCAGACTCTCAGGCCCCACCTCCAACCTACTGGACCAGAACCTGCATTTCAACAAGACCCTCAGGTGACTCAAATGCCTTGGGAAAAGAGGCAGAATTTTAGGTTAAAAATGTGTTATGTTGTTGAGATCAGAGACCCCAGAACCACCTCCAGGAGCCTCCTGTTTCTGACCAAGAACGCCAACCAGGGTACAGTGCTACCTTATGGCTCTGGCTGCAGAGATGAGAGAGGGCTCTGTGCAGGGGGACAGGGCTGGGGTCGAGCACTTCACCTCCTCCCTTGGGTGTACTTTCTGAGTCTCGGAATCCTAGCCCTTGGTGTGCATCTCATATCATGTTCCCAGCCTTACAGTGACTGTGACGATAACATTCAATGAGAGCTTAGACTGAAAGCATCTTGAAAGCTGGAGTGCCAGTTAGAGCCAGGGCAGGAACCCAGGCTCCTGACTCCTAGCTGAGGCACTTTGGGGACCTTGGGTTCTGGTCTCTATACTTTCCCTAAGCAGCAGTTTTGCCCAAGCATGGAAAAACTTGGCCTCTGATCCCTCAGCTCCAGCCCTAAGTCTGGGTAGTTGGGGATTTAGGAGAAAAATAAAATTCTCATCCCAGGACAAAATAGCCAGCTGGAAGAGGCCTCATTTCTGAGTCCATCTGGGCTGAAGGATCCTCTAATAGAGCATTTAAGTGCCCTTGGACAGCCCAAGCTCCTGGGCGCCCTGATGAACCCTCTCTTGCCCCAAACACACACACCTTTCTGGGGAACTTGCTTTCTGTGCTCATTCTGTTCCTGAGAAGTGCTGACTCCTGCGTGGGGGTTGGCATGACAAGGTAACTCAGGAAAAACGTCCCTGCTGAAAAGCAGTTCAGACAGAGGGCATATACCATGAAGGATGGGGCCGGAGCCCAGACTGCAGAAGCATTCTTTCCAGAATCACATAGCAATTCCCTGGGAGAGCCAGGACTCTCATCTCAGTGCCCACGAGTTCTCAATAATAGGAATAAATAGGACTACTGTG